AAAGAAAGAAAGAAAGAAAGAAAGAAAGAAAGAAAGAAAGAAAGAAAAGGAAATGGGGAAATATGGGAGCAGTTTGAGAGGTGGTATTGAGAGTGGATATGAAATACATTATATATATTTGAGTGAATTCCCCAGGATCTGAAGAAATCTGTCAGCATGTCCACAAAAAAATGAACATACAATTTTTCCAGCCTTCTATAGCCTATCTATGGGCTTAATGGTATACAAAGGTATTTGCCTTAAATGAAAGCTAAACAGGGGATCCCAAATTCATCAAACTTCCATCCTACTTTACTGAATCCATTCATCCATCCAGTCAGCCTGCATTTTCCAGTAGCAGTGAACAGAATTAGAATGAATCTCAGCAACAGCTTCTTGAGCCATGTTGTCTTTAAACAAAGCCTCAAGTAATGGATGATGGAGGCAGACAACTCATTTATCCTCAAGTCATTTAGACTGTAAGAGGGGAGCCTGGGACACCAGCAAAGAAGCACTGAGGTTGAGACATTAACCTCAGGCTAGTCACATACAGCTCTAAGACCTATTAGCCCTTACGGATTTTATAACGCTTTTTTTTGGGGGGGGGAGTGAGGAGTGAGTGCAGGCAATCTCCTTTGAGAAAATCTTCTGTAAAATAGCCAATCTCCAAGAAATACATTCAGGGATAGTTATTAACTTTTCTTACAGATTTTTCATCTGACAATGGGTTTTATTATAGGTCTCCTCTAAACAGTACCTAAGAGCATTTTAAAAATAATTCAATTTTCAAAAGTGTGATTTACCACCCACTTATTGTGTAAAATGTCTTGTTCTCCTGAGACTAAAGATGTTCTATGCCAATAAACTGTTTTAATGCATCAGCTGGGGCTCCTTGACAGACAACAATGCTTGGTGCATGGCAGGGGTGATCCACTGTGCTATTACCAGTTATACCCAGAAGCCTAATCAATATGCTGGTGTCAACTTGAGGAACATGTGGCCAGCACCACTAGTGGATTTCATCTCGACTTTGACTCAGAATATTTATACTGTACATTTCCACCAGTGCCCTGCATGATGCAAGAGTTAGCACACCATTCTGGTTTGTAGGTGTTATAATCTAAGGTGGCTGGTACTGCAAGATTAAATGTTTTCCTATATTTGAAGGCTGTCTGCAAGTAAAGAACACTGAACATAAATGTTACATGAAAGACAATTTCTCCGAAGAGAAGTAAGGTGAGAAACCTACTGAAGAAAACAGAAGACCTCTGTCCTTGAAGAAGCACAGCAACCCAAAGCTGAAAATAATCGGAGCTGGAAGGATGAAGACATCAGACCTCCATTTGTGCTTTCATGTCCAAAGAAACTATTCACTTAGTAATTTCACAATTCTCATTAAGTCCCTACTTGGAGCCAACCCAGATGACTCTATGGTGTGGAAATATAAGCAGTTGTTTATCTTTGTGATGGATCATTTGTGATAACAAATAATGTCTTACTAGGGACCAAAAGCCAGAGACCTCCTTTCTCAGATTTAGAAGTGTTAGGACTTTGGGAGATGATACAGAGGAAGCAGGGTTCAAAGGTGAGCCTCAACTGAAAAGATTAAGGCAGGAGTTTTCCAGTCTCAAGTGGGATCTAATAGTATCTAATAGAGATGACCAACTATTTTCCATTTTACTGTAGCTGAATCTCTTTTAAATGGGCCTACTCCAATGCATGTGGATACAAAGTAAGAGAGAGAACTCTTAGGATACAGTTAAATAATATTTAAGTGGGTAATAACGGAATTTTCTCTGTATTTTTCTAAATACACAACAATCCTTTCGGATCTCTAGTTCACCAGGGCCTCTTTAGACAGAGGATATTATTCATGTCACTGTTCCTCTTCCACCTCTAACCTCTACCACTGCTCCTTTTCCACCCCTATGCTCCACCATGTTCCTTCTAAGAGAATCTGTCCAAAAGAGCTATGATATAGGAATATTCTTCAAATTATCAAATTGTAAAATAGCCCATCACGTGAGCAAAAAGAAAAGCATTTTTCAGTGGTCTTCTTTTGGGTACATAACTTCTTACTGAAGGACACTTTATCAAGGTTGTGGTGGTTTGAATATGCTTGGCCCAGGGAATGACACTATTAAGACGTGTGGTCTTGTTGGAGTAGGTTTGGCTTTGTTGGAGAAAGTGTGCCACTGTGGGGCTGGGCAATGTGACTCTCCTCCTAACCACATGGGAGCCAGTTGTTTCCTAGTGGCCTTAAGATGAAGATATAAAACTCTTAGCTCCTCTTGCCCCATTCCTGCCTGGATGCCACCATGTTCCTGCCTTGATAATAATGGACTGAGCCTCTGAACCTGTAAGCTAGCCCCAATTAAATGTTTTCCTTATAAGAGTTGCCTTGGTAATGCTATCTGTTCACAGCAGTAAAACTCTAACTAAGACAAAGGTCCCAAAATTCTAGTTGATATATGAGGGGTTGGGGAATGCTAAATTAAAATACTATAAATATTATACGTCAAAGTTTTAAGTAGTTTTTAATTGCATAGGTGAACTATGTTATGTAAATCTTTTACACAATCTTGCCCACCGATTCATTTATGTTTAGTAACTACTGTTCTAGCCTAAAAAGCAATACATAATTGCTGAGGGGTTAGAAAGTGCAAACTTCAGAAGACTCACGTATGCAAAAGACAGAAATAGAAAATGGTCCCAAACTCACTAGCTCAAAGATAGCTAGTTTTCAGTTTGAGCTCATGTGGTTTGATATTTCAGCATCTATACTCTACTCTGTAACATATTCTTTGGCATATAAGACATTCTTGGGGGCTTATCCAGCTCTGGACAACTGGTCTACCTACCAACAGGAAGCCATTGCTTTAATCACAATTCCCAGAGTAGCTGCATTAGTTTCTCTCACTCAGTGCAGAGCAACACTTTAAAATGGTGAGTAGTGTAAATCCAGCATTAGACTTGTATAGTCTAACCCCACTCCTTCTTACCATGTGATCTTGAGCAAGATGGGCAATCACTAAGTCTCTTTCCCCACCATTCTGAAGGCTAGGATTGTATATCTCATGGTTTTTTGTTTGTTTGTTTGCATTTTTGAAAATACTCATAAAACATGGTCAGTGTCATGCCTACTACACTGAGGGAACTCAATAAGATTTGTCACTTGTTCTGAGTGAGAGTTGCTGCTCGATATATGTGTGTGTGTGAAGCTTCCTTGCTTAGAAGTTAAATTCTTTCACATTAATATACATCTTAAAGTATAACTTTAAATGTCTAAATATTAGATAATCCATTTTCTACACTATTACATGTTATTTAGCTAGTTTCTTATATAGGCTAGTTAGGATTTTTACAACTTTTTAATATAAGTAGTGATAAAAAGTCTCCTCTTAGGAGGCTTTAAGTCAAGACTGGTATTTCCAAAGCCCTATTTGCCTTCACTAAAACCTTAGAAACATGACCAAAACTGTATAGATTTCTCTCATTGATATGCACTTGCATACTGTTTCAGATTCAAACTTTACAAAACCCTTTACTCCTTCTGACACTATGTCTCTGTCAGCATCCACAGTGGCTTCCTTGGTAGAGACTCAGTCACCTTGAATGTTCCTCCAATTCTTCCAACTTCTGTAGCTGTATAGGATTTTATAATCCTATAGCTTTCACCTCTGAAACATCTTCTCAGTCCCATCAGTTTTAACAATGATCCTGAAGATTTTCCAGATATCCCCTTCTTGACTGCTCCACATTTGGACATCACTCTGATTACTCTGGTCTCTGCTTAAATGTTCTCAGTGAGTCAGTTATCATGTTTGAAAATAAATCCAAGAACTCTTCATGTATCACTCAACATCCTTTAAAGCCCTGGACCCCCTGGTCCTGTTACTTCAAGAGGATGGCGTGATGTTCTATGAAGCTCTGAAATATCTAATGTTTACCTGAAGAGTTCCCCTGACTCTTCTTCAGCCAGGTTTTTTAGGTTCAGTGCCATCATCACCAAGAACCCTTCAATAACTTCTATTCCAAAGAATCTGTTTTTCCTTTAAATTTGAAATGATATGGTATGCAGAATAATGTATCCCTGTGATATCCCCAGACCTTGCAAATGTATTTTGCTACTGGATTGTGTATCTTGTTGGTAATGTGCTTGTTAAAAGACTTGGGTCTAATCTGCAGAATCCACAAAATAAGTCCAGTCATACCTTTGTATGTCTGGCACTAGTTCACAGGGAAGAAATAAATAGGTAGGGTCCACAGGCCGACTGACCATCCAACCTAGCCCTATTTGTGAGTTCCAGGTTCCATGAGAAACCCTGTCTCAAACAAAGCAAAACAAAGAAAATACAGAGTAAAGAGCAACTGAGAAAGAGACCCAAAGTTGACCTCTAGCCTCCATATCCAACATGGGCACATACATGGAGAGAGAGAGAGAGAGAGAGAGAGAGAGAGAGAGAGAGAGAGAGAGAGAGAGAGAGAGAGAGAGAGAGAGAGGAGAAATAGATTAACTCTGGTGATCAAGAGATGGTTTGAAAATAAAAAGAGCATTCTTGACTATCAGACAAGTCAGGTCAGCCAAGTGTAACCATCAGTTTCTTCAAATTTGGAAGAGAGAAAGGTAGACTAAGACATCAGATTTTTAAAGGGAGAGGGGGCAGGAAAAGATTCTCTTCCAAACTTCCAGAAAAGAGCACACTCTGGTGGACAACACAGTCACAGCCTACTGGGATATATCCTGGAAATCTGACCAGCAAGGTATAAGCTAATAAACTCACCTTGCTTTAAGTCATGAAGAATGTGGTAGTTTGCTCTAGCAACTGTAAGGAAGACATGTAGGAGGTATTTCCATATGGCAAAAAAGGTAAAGTAAGATACACCTGGCTTTGAAACCCAAGTCTTCCACCTAGCAGTGTAATGGTGGACACATTGTAGACACTCCGCTCTAAAAGTTTAGCCCCTCTATTCATTCACTGTATTCCTTAGTGTATTTATTCTTTGTGGCTTTGTGAGAACTTGGCTTATACTTGTCAGGAAATACAGAGATGTGTGTGTGTGTGTGTGTGTGTGTGTGTGTGTGTGTGTGTGTGTAAAATCCTTTAAAGCTAGGTTCCTACCACTTAACTACAGGAATAAAAAGGGAAAGGAGAGAAGAGAAGGGAAGGGAAGGGAAGGGAAGGGAAGGGAAGGGGGAAGAAAGTTTTAGAGTATTATTTTCTTCATCTAAGTGTTTTGTCATTGTTCTATTACTATCCAGAGACACCATGACCAAGGCAACTCTTGCTAAAAAGAATGCATTTAGTTGGGACTTGCATATAGTTTCAGAGATTTAGTCCATCGTCATCATGGCAAGGAACATGGCAGCAGGAATGGTAGGCATCATGTTGGAGAAGTAGTTGAGACTGTCATTCTGATCCTCAGGCAAAGAGAGAGACCCTGAAATTGGCATTGGCTTTTGAAACTTTAAGCCCCTCTCCACCTAATGACATACTTCCTCCAACAAGGCCACACCTACTAATCCTTTCAAATAGTGTTACTCCCTAGTCACTAAGCATTCGAACATATGAGTATATAGGAAGGGGATCATTCTTATTCAAACCATCATACTTATCAAATAAAAATGTGAGCCAAGGTTAGATGTAGCTTCAGCTGTCCTAAAACTTGATAAGTAGCCAAGGATATTATTGAACTTCTGATCCCCCTGTGTTGGTATATTTTTGTTTGTTTTTTGACTATTTTATTGGGTTCATATATATCTACCTCCCTTCAGACCTTTATTCCACTATAGTCCTTTCCAATCCCCCCAACACTAGGTAGGAGAGAAAGAAGATTAGAGGGAAAGGGGATCATAGACTTCTTTTAGCCAACAAAATAGACTACTTCCTGCTAATTAGGGGCATTAGGTTCCTTGGGCTAAGTCCAATATTCCTTGTCAGAATATCTTCAACTGTCAAACCACAACAACAGCAACCAGGAACTGCAGAGGAAGCAGCACTCTCCTCAAAGCCCCTGGCCCCTCTTGCAGGGAGGTGGGGGGGGGGCTCTGGCAATTATATCCTCTAAAAAGTCCCCAGAATTCCAATCATAAATTATTTAAAGCTGGCAAAACCACACCCCTACTAGTGCACTAGAAAAATCATTATCACCTGCTGTGAAGCAGCTACTTATCTCACACCAAGATTAAAACAAAAATGTATTCACATAACATAACTCATTTATTTTAAGAAAGAAAAATTCTGACTACATCACTGACTATGTCTCTTGAGTGCTAGGATCACAGGCATGCACCTCCAGGACTGGTTTATGCGGTGCTGGGAATATGTATCAGATCTTTGTGTGTGTTTGGCAAGTACTCTACCAACTCTGAGCTACATCTCCAGGCCAAAATTTTATCAACTTTTGAGTAATATTTTTGTCATATTATAATAAAAGGTTCTAGCAATCTAGATATAAATGGAAGAAAGATGTTTAATCAAACTTCTCAGAGGAGAAATAAAAGTAAACATATTGTGTCATGTTGTATAATTAAGTTTCTGTTTTTTAAAATATTTTTCACGACAGTCAATGGCATGATTTCAAGTTGTAAATGACTTACCAAGACCAAAACAAACAGCAAAAAACAGTCTACAAGCTGATACATATAATTTTCTGTCTAAGGTGTTGATTGAATGAAACAGAACCTTATTGAGATCCAGTTAATCAGGACTCATCAGGAAGGCAGAAATGACCCACTGCGTCTTGTGGATTGACTAAAACCAAACCAATTAAAAACAAAAACAAAAGAGACTGTCTGCTGTTTACTTTGCTTTTTGTATTTACCTAAAGCTTCATTAGAAAATAAAATCTTAGAAACCTTTATGTAATGACACAATGGTTTCGTGATTCAGTTGGAGCAAAGATGGAGAGGAAAGAGAAAAACAAGAAGCAGTGAAATAGCTGGTTTTATGTCAACAAAAAGAGATCAAGTTACCTAGAAAGAAAGACCCCTCAATTGAGAAAATGCCCCCACCACAATGGCTTGTGGGTAAATCTATGAAACATTTTCTTGATTGGTGATTGATGTGGGAGGGCCTATTCCAATGTGGGTGGTACAATCTTGGGCATGTGGCCCTGGGTTCTTTGAGAAACGAAGCTGAGCTATAAGGAGAGAGCTAGTAAGGGCACTCCCTCATGGTCTCTGCATCAGTTCCTGCCCTGTTTGAATGTGTCTTTTCCTTTGATGATGGACTATGACGTAGAAGTATAAGCCAAATAAACCCTTTCCTGCCCAAGTTACTTTGGCTATGGAGTTTCATCACAGCAATAGAAACTCTAACTAGTGCAGGAATTGGTGACAACAAAACTCTCCACATTTTTCAGGTTTGCTCCAGGATCAGGAAAGTGGGCTGACAGAGAGCAGATTCCAAGATGCTGGAATAAAATCTCAACTAACTCATTTAATCAACTAGTAAAGTGTTGTCAATTGAGCATGTGACATTTTAAAAAGTTATCTTAAAATGAACCAAGTC